CAACCAAATATTATCAAATTATCTGTCTAATATTGTTAAATATCTGCTAAATATTTTTTAAATATCTGCCAAATATCATTTAATGATTTGCAAAATTTTATTATATAATCAACTTAATATCAGTTTATAATTTATTTAATCATATTATAATAATCTAAATATCTGTCTTATATCTTTTACTAATCTTTTTATTGATATTTAAATATTTTATTAATTACTAGACTGATATGTAATACATTTTATTTAAATCATCAGCCTATTAGTTTATAACTAATAGTCTATTAGTCTACTATCATCCTAGATGATTATTATATGATACTTATATAATACTCTTAACGATATTTGGATGATATTAACCGATATATAACATATTTTTCTAAAATCTTCAGCCTATAGGCTTGTTTTTTTTCTATCTAATCTGTTTATAGCCAACAGCCTATCGGCCTGCTATTATCTAGCCCGATTATTTGAAGATATAAGAAAGATATTTTGATTTCGATCAGTATTAAATAAATATTCGGTATTCAATTATTTTCAAAAATTAGCAGAGATGGTAACACTAGTACAATTTATAATATTGGATATTGTTACTAAAATAGAATTGGGGTTAGAAAAGATGAATATAAAGCATTCACATTTATTATTAAAAATCTGCGAAGATGAGATATAGTAGTGAGATATATAGTGTAGAATATTATCAAAAGGCCTTTGAATATTATTTAAAAAGAGCTAAATATGGAAATTAGAGTGGAATATATCAAGGTTAGTATTATCAGGAAGGAATAGGTTTAGAAAAGAATAAAGATTTGAATTTTGAATGGTATTTAAAGTCTGCTATTGCCAAGCATAACTATTATATTTATGAGAACTAGAATTGATTATAAAGATGACTTCATTGTCTATATTGTTTAGTTTTTTTTTAAAGTTTAGGTAGTATATATATTTATGTGCCAATCAAATCAAATTAAAATTTTTTCGATACACAAAATGAAGTAAAATAAATTTATTAATAATATAAATGAAGCTTTTTTAAAGCTAAAGTAATTCTAACTCATCATTTACTCTAACCTATATTTTAACTATTAAAAACATGTTATCATATGTTATGACTCTTGGACATACTATTAATTAGATCACATTACTATATATTAGAGATTTTATATATGCTCTTTGTTTGTGTAAATACTGAAATAAGCCTTGTTGAAAGCTTTATATTAATTGGTCTATTTAATAAATGTATAAAATTTATATTAGTATGATCTTTATATTTTAATATTTTATAAATTTAAGATTTGGGTTAATTATATAAATGTAGTAAAAACTCAATAAACTTTGCTAATTACCAAATGTTTATTTTTATTCGTATAAAAAAAACTACATAGGAAAAGCAATTGAAAATGATTAGAAAAGATCTTCTGCTAAAGACATATAAATAAAGAAATTATATTTATCAATATGAGTATCTTAAGTTTAATTTATTTTGGGTAAATAGATTGTGAAATTGCCAGGTTTTAGACTGCAATCATATATTAGATTTTCAATTGCTAATATAAATATTTTGTATAACAACATGTTCAAAATTTATTAGATGTGAGTTTTTCTTATGTTAATTAGAAGTGATAAGAAAATTAGATATCCTATTAGTATAAGTTATGATAAATATATTTATTGAAATATTTAGTAGTTTTATATTTATAAAAGTAAATAACTTTTAATTAGATTTTTAAGCTATTTTAATTTGAGTTAATTTAATGACACAAAAATAAATTGATAAATTAAAGATTCAGATAAAAATTTACATTATATAGTAAATTGTTAACAAAAAAATAAAAAAAAACTTAAATAATTATTAGAAATAGTATTTTTTGCTAATTTAAAGTAAGTATATTGCATAAATGATATTAATTTTAATTGGCTAAAATTATTGATTATATTATAAATATTTTTGTAAATATTTTTAGAAAGTATTTATTTTAATTTTAGCTTCTATAGTATAAAGAATATTTTGACAGTTTTGTGAAACAATATTTTTATCTTTTTCAATACCATATTTTATATAATCACAATAAACAGATTTAAGATATTTAGCAAATTGATAAATGCAATAGTATTTGTGGATATTAGAAATTTTTAAAAAAGTTGAATATATAATGTGAATAATTAAAAGAATTCATAATTAATAGGTCTATATAATATTAATATAACTAACAGTTATAGTTTAAAAATTGTGATTTTTGAAATTTATAATGACTAGTATATATTTTATTTTTATAAAGAACATATCAATATAGTTGTAAAAATAAATATGAGTCAGTTTTGTTATAGCAAACTTTTGTTATAATAAATATTTGTTATAGTAAATTTTTTATTGTAAATAGTAGTTTATATAAAGTTTTTTGTAAAGTAAATTTATTAATAGATTCTGATACAATATTATTTAAGATTTAATAAATTAATATTGCTATATTATTAAACTTTAAGTAGTTTGCTATGATCATTGTAGTTTTTACTTGAAAATTAGACTTTTTACTATAACAGATTTAATAGTTGTAATTATTAACAGCTAATAAATAATAGTATAATATAATAAAGTTAAACCAGATATTAATACAAGATTTTAATGATTCTAAAAATTTGTAATTTCATAAAATTTAGAGTATGAATTGCTAATTTTTTTAAAAAAATTAAGTATATATATGAATAAATATATATGCAAGTTATCAGATAGCATATGCATTGCCAATAATTAGTATTTATATTATATTTGAAGTTGGTATTTGACCAAAGTTAGAACTTCAGGTATCTGAAGTCGCACTTGACTAAAATTAGTTTTAGAAATTATATTATTTTATACTTACTAGTTAGTAGTTTTTAGACAGATACTAATTTCAGATATCTGAAGTTTCAATTTCAGACAAATACCAACTTTAGATACTTGAAGTTCTAACTTTAGAAGATATAATTTTAGATATAATATTTGCAATATTATAGAATTATGATTATTATAATATTTATAATGATTATAACTATTAAAACTTTAAGTATTAGTTAGTTGTATATAATTAAAGTTGTATTATAATAAAATACACAAGTTGTTAATTATTATATAGCTATTATACAAATGATTATTTATATAATTAATATATCATATTAATTATTGTTCGAAGCGTAGCTGAGGACACTATATTTCTAGACATTGGGATCAGTTTAATCACATGATGCATGTCTGTTATGCCGCGTAACTAACCAATAAAATTTGTACGTACGTACATACACAATAATAGCAATCATTACGTGACAGTGATAAACAAACTTTTTTTAATACAGTATTAAAATTGTACAAAACTGCAACTTACCATATTATATTATTCCATTCCTTTCTACAAGTCCTTTTTACGCAAATTAGCTTTGAATTTATCATAGTTTTAACTATAACAAGAATGACTTGTATTTTCTGTATAAAAAACCAGAGCGTAAAAATTTTAACTTAGCAACTTTTTAAAAGTTTTTTTTTACAAAATACAATACCAGGAAGTTCACTTGTTTATTCGAGTTTTCGGGTTTAATTTTTTTTTTTTTCATTTTTTGATAACCGTGTTACTAATAAATACATGTTCGTTATATAATACTTCCTGAAATTTTGTATATAGCAGTACATCAAAAATCTAAATAGAGGCGATGGAACGTAAGATATTTCCTAAAGATGAAATTATGGCAGTTATTACATACTAAAATAATCCAGAATTAAAATGCTTTATTTCCTGATAAGAGAAATAGAATTTTTGAACCCTCACCTACTTTCGAAATTAGTTAATTCTGAATCATCTTGCCATTTTGCATAAACCTTCGCTGTTTCTTTGAATTTCAAATCAAATGATCTTGAACAAGGCAACAGCAGATGTACTTTGCAAGAACTCTAGATTGACCAATTTAATTTTTATGATGATATTCTTGTGTTTAGAGTAGTTGTAGATGCACTTTGCAAGAATCCCATGTGGCATTATTAGAATTAGTGCTTTTGGCCAAGCCAGTCGATTTTTTTAAATTTGGCTGATCGATTTTACAGTATTACTAGGATGAATGAACCTAAAAATATGTGCAAGGTTGAGCCAAATTTTTAGTAAAGTCTGAATTAAATATAATTTTAATATCAGCTAAGCTGGTGCAATTTATGCGCTTAGTCATAGCCAAAAAAATTTGATCAGCCAAAATCACTAATTAGAATAGCTTTTAGTGGAAGTTTGTTGAATATATGAATATAAAGTTGCGCAGTGTTTAAATTAAAATGATTGTATGAAATTTTTATGTACAAAATTTATTATCGGAAAATTATTAAATTATATATATTTTAGTATTCTTAAATTTACTGATTAATTAAATTAACTAGGCTCTTTAGTCGCATTTAATAATTTTTCAATCACCAAATTCAAATTTTGTTTCGTATGAAAATATGATGTACTATGATAATTAAAATATATTTTCTGTGTAGAATAAAGACATCTGAAATTACTTGGATTTTTGTCATATAAAAAAAATTGCAACTCTAAAAATTACAGAATCAATCTTGTGATACTATCATCAAACTCATTGATAAATTAGCTTGTGCTTATTGCAATAACAATAAATGTCGCGAATGCTCGTGAAATCAAATGATGCTGTAATTTAGGGGTCTCGATTTGAAATATAAGCCCTACCAGAATCCACTTATACTAATTTACTATAACCCTAAATCCTAACTTAACTATAAAAAAAAAAGCTGCCAAAGAAGACCCAAAAAAATTAGAAATTGTACATAAAATAGATCCAAAAATACTAAATTCAATTAAATTTAATAAATTTAAATTGTGCCTGTCGCTTGCAAATATAAAAGATGATTAGTGAACAAGTTCAAATATCTAACACAACTAGACAACGTAAAAAAAGGGAGAATGAAACTCCAGACTAGCGTGAAATGCGTGTGAACATGATCGTGAAAATAAAAAAAGAAAAAGGCAATTAGAAACCAATGAACAACATAATGCACGTTTAGCTAGAGAATGTGAGCAAAGACAGCAAAGAAAAATGTGACACATTTTAGGAACTGCTGTTGAACATACGGCCCATCAGGAAGAAAATACTATTACTTCTGCCGTAATTTCTGACAATATTGAATTAGAACCACTTATTGATGACACCACAGATGTTCAACAACTGTCAGAGCCTGACCAT